ATATTCTCTCCCTTAATTATAGCAAAACAACTTTTCAACCCATGCAACTTTGCAAATGGAATCTTTGTTTTTCTATAATTAATATTGCTAACTTGCAATACTCGCCATAACAATCATACAAGCATAACATTTATGCTCCCACTATCATGATGATTATCATATAAGCATAACATTTATGCTCCCACTAGCTTTGACATGTATTCAGAAAACAAATGAACTTCCAGAAAACAATGCCTATTGAACTTCTGAAATTCATATTTCTACTACCAGATGCTTCGATAAGCCTTTATCTAAGCTTCTTAACCTTATACACCTTTGCCTTAGATAGCTCATATGTGTGTTTAAACAATTCATAACTTATGTTACTAAGTTCCAAATGTTGAAACTAATTGCCAAATCTCACAATTCGAACTATGGAAAGGGATGCCGTAACCATAATCGAATTTGAGAATGCAATTTTCACAATTGCTATCTTCTTAAAATCTCTCTTAGTGAAAGCATTTCCTCACAGTCATTTTCATGAAGGAGGGAATCTTATGACACTTAGATTTTATAGTGTATGAGTTCCTATCCATGTGAATTTGCCAAAACCAAGGTTTGCGACAAATCCAAACTCATATGGACTGAACTTTCTTAATCTTGATTTCTTGCCCTATGGTAACACGAGTGCCCACCATGCCTTCCAAGTAGTTTAGTAACTTGTCCTTACATATCAATTTACTTTCCATCGACTAAGGCTTTAGTGTGTATTCAAATGAGAACTCATAGAACTCATATACACAATTAACTCAATTGGAATGGCACAGAAACAAAACAATGTCAGCACGATAGGTTGTAAACCTCAAGTCGTGTGCTAGTGATGATCGATAAGGTTTATTCTTGATTTGTTCTTGAAACTTTTTAAGACCATTAAGACTCCCACTAACTTCTTGACATATAAGATTCTCTTGTCAAGAAACATTTCTTGACAAACAAATATTCAAGAGTTAGTGAAGCATTTATCAAGACAAAACACTTCACACAATTGGTCCTAGTTGGTCTTTGTCTTATCCAAGACAACACAACTTACCAATTTCAAATGTGCAAGAATAAGAAAACTTTTCCAAATTCCACATTTGATGAGTGTTATAAACCTACTTATTTTATTGTAAGGATAAATAAATAAGACAAAATCAAAATTTATTTTATTGCGGAAAAAAACTTGTCCTTACAATGCAATTCAATTGAAAAATTATGTTAACAATCTATTCTAACTCCAAGTTGTAGCTCAAGAATCCATTCTTCAAGTAATGCGATCGAAATCCATTTCTTCATGATCAGATTCAGCTCACTTCTTTTCTCAAGCTTCCTCTCTTTTCTTCGATCCTACAAAACATCAAAATGTAATCTTATCACATCATGTATTAAGAATCTAGAATAGGAACTTAAAAGAGTTAGTTAATGGATTTTACCTGAAGCAGAGCCATGTCTTGACTCTCCCATCTCTTAGATCTTTCAGGTAGTTAGGGCAGCTTCGTCTCCAATGCCCCTTCTCTTGGCAATAAAAGCAAATGGACTCCTTTGGCACAACACATCGGACAATCACAGACTTAGTTCTTTCTGGACTTCCAATGTTGCCAGTGTCCATTGAAGTTTGGGAGTTTGATTCACTAGACAAATTTGCTTGACCAGCACGCCAAATCATTGCTGATTCAGCAGCTATAAGCAAATAGGTGAGATCAATTAGGGTCACGTCGTGGTCCATCATATAGTACTCTATAACGAACTCACTATATGATTCAGGAAGTGACTGAAGAACCCAATCAACAGCCAAATCACTTGAAATCTCGACACCCAACATGTTTAACCTATCAATGTATGACTTCATCTCTAAGACGTGCGCACACACAGGTTTCCCATCTTCGTGTTTACTTGCCAAAAGGGCTTGAGTGAGCTTGAACTTTTCAAGCCTTTGAACTAGTGAGTCAGGGAGAATAATTGGAGGAGGTGGAGGAAGTGAAGCATGACTCTCATTTCCTTGATCGTATCTCGGAACGTCATCTTCATTTGGAAAGCTTGTTCCAAAGGATTTGGGAAGACCATTGTAAGATTAGACATCTACAAAACGGGAGAAAATTCAAGTTAAGTTGATTAGAATTCTTGATGCAACACCCAAATGAAACATCAAGCTAGGATCCAACACAATACTCTACAACCTAGAAGAGGGATGCCGTAATCTAGTTGCAGAATATTTGAAGGTAGGTAAATGACGATTTACCAATTTCCACCATGAAAAACGAAAAAGAAGTTTAAGTTTTAAATGAATTGAAACTCCTAGATCTTTTGAGATTCATTGAACTTTTCAATGGCATGTTTAATCTCGATTATGCCCTACTATTTGTGACTGGGATGCCGAGGATCACAAACAAGGTGTAAATAACCATACGAATCACGTGGTGCACCCAATGCTACTATCACCTAATCAATGTGCCGGTTAGCCACACACGCTCCATTGATCTATGATAAGCATCGAGCCACCCTTTCCACCAATGTCATCCCCAAATTAGTGTGCCGGTTAACCACACACGCTCCACTAACGTTTGACAAGGGTACGAAGTGTAATTCCATGGGTTAGCATACAATTTCACATTTTGCCTAAAGTAACTATGATTTGGGAATTTGAAAAAGCATTTAGTTACTTTGTACTTCATTATACTTATAATGGAAGGTTTCTGTCCTATCCTACCCGTTCGGCTAACGACCCTCCACTAGTCAAGAGTGCGGTGGGTAAGAGTGGATACCCATTCAATCGCCATTTTATAGGCAATTTCCTTAAACACCCCTTATAGACTAGTTTCGTGAATGAGGCCTACTAACGGTAAGACTGACTTTTTAGTTATACATATATAATATTAAACTTTTAATGTTATATATAGTATAAGGGTGTATTTTACACTTTTAAAATACTAGGTGGTTTAAATTATACTTTTAACTAACCAAAATCATTATGGATTTATTAAATCTCTTTTAATTATACACTTAATTAATTTAATAAAACCATAAGGGTTTAATGTGAACTTTTCAAAATCAGGGTTTTGGAATTTAGACTTTCAAAATTAACTTTTAATCAACAATTTAAATTCCAAAACTTCAGGGCAAGTTTTGAAACTCTTCAAAACAATTAGGTTTTAATCTCACTTAAAATTTTCGAATTTAAGACATTTAAATTAAAATTTTAAATATTAAAACTCTTGATTTAATAATTACCATAAATTAAACAATTAATTTAAATTATTAAATCACAAGGGATTATCTAGATCATAAGGATAATTACCAATTATACATCTAAGATATCCTAATCCCTTGAATCCCTCTCTAAATCTCGAAAATAAGGGATGGGATAATTCAAGATCTTTAATTACCATATTTAACAATTAAAAGATAATTACAAGATATGGGATTATCCAAATCCCTAAAATTTAGGATCTAACCTTGGGGAAGGAGGTAATTTCGAAATCCAAGGGTTGGATAACCCTAGATTTCAAAATCTTGGAGGCTAAGGAAAGCATTTGGGAAACCCTAGCAAAAATCGCCATCTAGGGTTTTGCAACCCTAATTGCGAAAATTACCAAGCCTTTAGGGTTTATTAGCCATAAACCCTAATATTTCAAGTTCACAAATTTGAATAAAAGCTAATTGAAAACAAAAACCTAGCTCTGATACCACTGTTGGGTTTTATACAAACAATCCTATGTGTGCATGCAACCCTAGTATTGGATCTATGTTTTCACTATTAGTTATACAACTTTATGAACACAAAAAAAAACCTGGCATGCTACTATAATTTTCGAAATTCATATATAAAGCTAGAATACATACCTTTTGTTGTTATATAGCAATAACGACTAGTTCCTTGAATTTCCTTAGCTCTTGAAAGCAAGTACCACAAGTGTAGTACCTCTAATGGAGTCACAAACACCATATGCAACTTGGATGAAGAGGAGAAGAAAAGGAGGCACCAAAAACGGCTGGAAACCCTAATGGAAGTGTTCTCCACGTTTTTGGGGCTTAAGGGTCCCTTTTATACATGTAGGCTATTAGGGTTTACAACTAGGAAACCCTAATCTGACTGCTTAGGCCCTAAGCAGCCCATGGACTCCTTAAACATATCCCTTGGACGATTTCTAATGGGCTTCCCATAGAATTCGTTCAACCTATATATTATTAGGTGATCCATAGCCCAATTATAATTATCTTATAATTACAACTTCAGTCCCTTAAGTTTAATTAATCTCTTTTAACCACAAAATTAATTCTTAATTAATTCTTGACCAATATTAATTAAACAATATGATTTCTCCTTTAATATATTATTCTCATAATATAATAATAAATCATATTTAAACCTTTCTCTCCTTAAATCATCCTACATATTGCTATAGTGAAGGCAACCCAAAAGGATCATGCTCATAATCGGATCAAGTACATACCAAAACAGTTATGGACTTAGACACTAATCCAACAGAAGTTGGTTTGGGGGTATCAGTGGATTGAGAAAAGAACATGGAAGTGATTGGTTGATTGAGGATGTGTTCAAATGTTGGAGATATAGTAGTTGAAGTACGAGGAATGGTTGATGTTGGTGGAACAGAAACAAATGTTTCAAAAGGAGTAGAGATAAATGAACCTTGAGCTGCATCCTTCGAAACATTTTTACCCAAGCCTGAAGTTCGAACCTCCTCAACAAGTGACTTGGCAATCGAAACTTCAGGGGTGAATATGGCAGTGGTCTCTGGAATTGAGCTTGTAAGAATAGAGGTAACTTCAGGAGTATCTGGTACTCGTTCATCCTCTTCGGTAGAATCATTGTATAAAACAATCTTCCTAGCCTTCTTCGTCTTCTTCTTCGTTGGTTGAGATAAATGTTTCGCCATATCTTCGACTGCCCTTTTCTTGGATGTAGGAGAAACAGGAACATGAACCTCACGAAACATTACTCCTTGATGAGAAAGTTGAGGTTTTCAAAGCAGTTTCTTAGATGAAGATTTGCGCTTGTGCTTGGATTTCATCTTGATTCTTCGAAACATCCCTGTTTTCGAAGGAATCACCACATCTTCTTGTGACTCTTCCACAACTGGCATAATCACTGTTGTTGCTTCGATTGTCACAGCAACATTTTCTTGCTTCTGCGTCGTGGATTTGGATGAGGTTGAACCCTTCGCTTTCTTCGCAGGAGAAGTAGGCTCATCTTTTTTTGACTTCTTAGATTTCTTTGCTTCGCATGGTAATAAAATTCCCATAGGAATAGGAGAATCAAAAGTTTTTACATATGCCTGCAAGACAGGATTCAAAGGATCCACTCTTTTAAGCATTGCATCGGGATCCGAGCAACACTTGGAAATTCATCCGCATTATCAACAACCTCCTTTGGAAAATGATAAGACTGAAAAGTAACATTTTCTTCTTCAGTAGAAACCAGAATACCTTCCTTGTTGTAAAAATGTTGTAAAATAAGACTCCAGTACCTAGCACAACAACATTTGTGTGTTCTACCCCTTTATGGAACTCCTGCCATAGCTGTGTTGAATAATCAGCAGGAAGATCATAGTACAGACCAGCCACCATGGCATATATCTCCATTCATCCTTTATCCAAGTCAACTGTTCTTCTGGTTAGATTTCTTTGCTTCGCGTGGTAATAAAATTCCCGTGGGAATAGAAGAATCAAAAGTTTTTACATATGCCTGCAAGACAGGATTCAAAGGATCCACTCTTTCAAGCATTGCATCAGGAATCTGAACAACACTTGGAAATTCATCCGCATTATCAACAACCTCCTTTGGAAAATGATAAGACTAAAAAGTAACCTTTTCTTCTTCAGTAGAAACCAGAATACCTTCCTTGTTTTAAAAATGTTGTAAAATAAGACTCCAGTACCTAGCACACGAAATGTCATGGACAACATTTGTGTGTTGTACCCCTTTCTGGAACTCCTGCCATAGTTGTGTTGAATAATCAGCAGGAAGATCATAGTACATACCAGCCACCATGGCATATATATCCATTCGTCCATTATCCAAGCCAACTGTTCTTCCGGTTAGACAACACAAAAATATTCCAAACAAAAAATTCCATATTTTTGGAAGACCAGACTTCTTAAAATCACTGATCTTTGACAATGGGGGCTGATATCCCATTTCATTAAACATGTGTATGATTTGAGAGAATTGAAATTCAAGAAACGGAGGTGTATTTGGAATATCAAGAATCTGGCAAATCAATTTCTTGGAAAGCCTAACCTTCTTATCATTGATTAAAAGAAAGGTAATCGAATCAGTGGCTTTATTGTAGGTAGCTGTTTGTCACACCCCGAAACCGAAGGCGGAAACATCCCGGGGCGGAGGTGACTTCATGTGAATATCATAACCAATGTACATAGTAAGCGAAGTAAAACACAAAACATTACATTACATAGATTTCATTACATCAGTTGAAAAGTAAAGTAGTACAAGTTTCATATATACATAAGTTTGAACAAAAGAAAGACATGACTTCCATTCGCTCCATCTTCTGCAAAAGGATGCGGGATACCTGTCTAAGTAGAACCTGAGAATACAAGCATTTTAAAAATCAGCATAAAGTTGGTGAGTTCATAAGCGGTTTGTTTTTATGAAAATGAGCAAGATTCCTTTTGGTTTCTGAAAATGTTACGACGCAAGAAAATCCCATATTTTCTTAAAAGTAATGTTTTGTTATTTGTTAGGTTACACTGATCTTGTTATGTTCAACTGTGATCCCAGGAAAATCCCATATTTTCCTAATGTGAAAGATGTAAAAGATGTAACGTAAAAGATGTAAAAGATGTAAGAGATGTAATGTGTAATGTATATGTTAGTCCACCAACCCAAAATGTAATGTAAAAGATGTATACTAAAAACATGATTATTATAGTAAACTAATTCTTATGGTTATTAATTTATTATATCCATTATTACTAAAAATGTAAATTTATGTTATCCAAATTGTGAATTCCATAACCATACAATAGACTAATTATGGCAATAAGTAGTCCATCTTACTTTATGACTTTCGTCACCCTTGAACCTTTCGGTTCGGCTGTAGCTAGCAGCCAGGTACAGGGTAGTCAGCCCCGTATAGATCTATACACTCAAGTCACGCTCTCTAAATCCCAGAGATTCTGGTTACGGGTGCGATCCTCCACTCGCGTATCTCTGTGGAGTGTTCTCCGAGGACGTGTCTCCAATTTTTTGGAATAACAAATCTACAAGTAATAATGACGAAGGTCCTGTTTAAGTTCTATCTAAAAAGACTATCCTCCACTCACGTATCTCTATGGAGTGTTACCGAGGACAAGACGATATACTAAGTTTCTTGTTCAAAGTTCAAAGATTATGTTTTTAACTATTTATAATATGAAAACCATTTGTGAAAATATAAAGTACAATAATTTATAACATTTTTCACAAATACTATGATAATGAAATGTGCAAGTTCAAACGGTTAACTAATATGATTAACAGTGTTAAAAACATATGTAGTATGAAATACAACACATATAAAATAAGTTTTGAGTACAAGTATTACTTGTACTTTGCTTGTATTCCCCCCCCCCCTGAAAACAGTGAAAACAGTGAAAAAGGGTAGGGGTATGAACTCACCAGACGAGGAAAGGTGTCGACTAGGATGCTAAACGTCGGATCGAGGCTTGAAAAAGTGCGAGGCTCCTATGTAATATGAAATGACACACAAATGTATCTAATTAGAGTTTAAATCACTAATTAGATAAGAATTTACACTCCAAGATGCGAAAACACTTTAATTAAGTGTTAGGAGTGACCCGGTAGCATTTAAGGGTGTGTAGGGCATAAATAAAGAGTTTACTGTTCAAAAGTAATCCCTTAGGGGATTTTACGGTCCTATGAACCTATTCCCATGATTTTACGGCCGTAAACTCATGGGTGGTGTGTTCTTGGATGCTAAATGTTCTTATAATGCACAAAGGAAAGTTCTAGGGTTGATTCTATGGCTTAGGAAGTGATTGGGACCTGAAAGGGCCTTGGAAAAGGAGTTTACGGTTTATGAATATGCTCATGGGGAGTTTATTACCTTAAACACATGATTTTACTACCTTAAACTCATGTTTGTCCATGAATCATGCGTTTTTGTGGTTGAAGGTTAAGCATATATGGTTCTAGGTTCAATTCCAAGCCATACAAGGTGTTAAAGGCACTTTAACACCCATTTGAAGAGTTTATGGTCCAAGAAGATGGGTTTATGGTCCAAGGAGATGATTTTGCAGTCTAAGAATGTTCTTGGACCGTAAACTCAAGTTTGATCCATTTACATATGTTTTGGTGCATCACATGAAGGATTATAAGGTTCTACACTCTCATGGAAGCATCATGGAAACATTTGGAAGTGTTTAGGGGCATTTTGACACTTTAAAAGGAGTTTATGGTCCATGAATGTGGGTTTACGGCCCAAGCATGTTCTTGGACCGTAAAATCATGTCCAATACTCAAATCGTACGAATTTGGGGTCCTAAGTTCATGCATGCAAGTTTCTAAGCCATATCTAAGCACTAGAATGGGTTTGGAGGGGTTTTAGGGATTCAAAACCCTCTCAAGGGGTGTTCACGGTTTTGGGAGGGTCCCTAGGCCGTAAACACTTATTCTTTGGTGTTTTTGGAAGTTTCAAACATGAATGTGCATGTCAAACAAGTTAAACAACAAGCTAGGATGAAGTACTTACCAAATTGAAGCTTGAAATGGGGTTTTTGGATGAATTTCGAGTTCTAGAGAGAGACTAGTGAGAGAAAGTTTTTAGAGAGAGAGAAAGCTTCAAAATGATGTCACTCACTCCCTTATATAGGGGTTGAGTTTATGGCTCGGTGGAATTCTACCCGATACTGCCGTTAGACGGTGCTTTTGGTCGTACCCGATAAATTGCCGTAATCACGACGTAAATGAAAATAATAATTTTCCAAATAAATATGGAAAATATTTTAATGTTTTTAACGCATCCTGACACTCATGAAACCAAATTAAAAGTCGCGATTAATTTAATTTAACTCTAAGGTTAACGGAAAAATTTGAATACGAACGGTTTTATTTACCGGGAACGGTTTATAGTGACGGAATAAATTACGGGTTGTCACACTGTTGATCCTGCTTGAGAAAGCCAAGATAATGGAACAGAAAAAGTGTTGAACATCGCTTTTGATAAAACAAAGTGTTTTAATGCAACAATCAACATTTTGAATTCCTCCGGACACTGTGAAAGTTCACCATTTACATAATAGTTGGTAGATTGAATCTTCCTTATTGGTACTGAGGATGTATCTTCAGTGGAAGCATCAACATGAGAAGTAGTCGCCATTGTTAGGGTTTGAAGAATATGAAGAACAAAGAATTTTGGGAATTTTAGAGTGTTTTATCGCGTAAGCATAGAATTTACTCTGAACCCCCTTTTATATGTAACGCTGGATGATTTGAATTTGAAGCGGGATGCATTTAATGAAATCCAACGTGGCACCTTGAAAATCAGACCAGTTCTGCAGAAATTTAGCCATGCGTTAAAAAGCGTCTGTCACATCTCCTACAAAACCGGGTTGAATACCATACGTCACAGTTACACAGCCTGTCACAATCCCCTTTATTGAATAGTAACCGTTAGAACCCTTTTAATGGAGGCAAGGCTCTTTCACTTTTGGGATGAAAAGCGAAGTCATATGCCAGAAGTTCGAAATCATCAGCCTGAGTTGGTATTACTCAGAACCTCAAAGATTTTGTGAGTGAAGTGTGCCAAAGAAAGGTTAGACAAGAAACAATTAAAAAAATTTGGAATGTAGTGATGTAAAAAATTCAATTTGACACAAATGCAGATAAACCCCAAGCAAAGGTTGCTTCGTTAATCATCAAGCGAGATGATCAACAGCTTGTGTGTGTTCCCGTGAAGTACAATCGACTACTTTTTGATAAGCATCAAAGGGCTTATTTTAAAAGTAATTCCTGGGTTGGTTTAAAATTTCGTTACATGCCATCCTAAACATAAGGTGATAAATTGTAACAAAAATTACTTGTTTGACTAGTGTAGTCAGTGACAAGTTTGTTTTGAAAAATATGATCATGACAAGGATATGCGAATGAAACTCACACTGAAATCATATTCTTAAAAAAATTATGTTCTGGATCTTGTTGGGTAACAAACATCTTGGGTTTCGAATGTTTGATCAAGACCACACATTCGAAATGAATTTGATTTGGAGTTCCAAATTTTGGTACAGAAACAAAAGTTTCTTTAATATCTGGAACAATGTTCCCCGTCAATTCCTTAAGTTTCAAGATGTTTGG